GGATGCGATTAGCACTTCCCTGAGGGCTGTGGACACTGAGCACCTTTTCCTGGATTCACTGCCATTTTTTGCATTCCTCTTCTGATGGCAGTGGGCAAGGGGAGGTCCCCAAACGCTGATGGGACCCTGACCCCAGCCGGTGTTGGGCTCTTGACACCACCTGGGGAAATGAATTCAAGGACCAGTAGGAAAATAGAGAAAGAAGGCAGATTTATTGTCAAAGGAAAAGTACACACTCAAGTCAAGGGAGTGCAGGGGAGCTCCAGAGAGAGGCAGGGGCACAGGGCTTTGGGGCTGCCATCTTTCTGGGTTTCTCCAACCAAGGGGTGGAATATTCATGAAAATTCCTGGAAGGAGAGGATTTCTCAGAACTGTGGTGCCACCCATTTTTACACCAAATATTGGTATTCTCCGAAGTGCTAGTGAGCTGGCTGGTGTGTGTTTACTATGTTCATCAGCATGTAATGGGGTCCAAGGTGAAACCTACATCAAATCCAGGGCCATGCTGGGTCCACTCATTCTTAGCCAGCTTGGTTCACACGCTGTTTGTCAGCCTCTTATAAGCTCCCAGTCTCTGCAGGTATTTCAACAGACTCCTTTTGCTCGTCACCTGAAACTGCTGCCTAAAAGTTTCTGTTCTTTTCTGACCACAGTGTAGTGTACCTGTCTCACTTTGGAGAAATGTCTATTCAAATTTCTTGTATAAGGCCGGGCGCAGTGGCTCATGCCTGTAATCCCAGCACTTTGGGAGGCCGAGGCAGGTGGATCACAAGGTCAAGAGATCGAGACCATCCTGGTCAACACGGTGAAACCCCGTCTCTACTAAAAATACAAAAATTCAGCTGGGCATGGTGGTGTGTGCCTGTAATCCCAGCTACTCAGGAGGCTGAGGCAGGAGAATTGCCTGAACCCAGGATGCGGAGGTTGCAGTGAACGGAGATCACGCCATTGCACTCCAGCCTGGGTAACAAGATCGAAACTCCATCTCAAAAAAAAAAAAAATTTCTTGTATATATTTAAGTGGGGTTATTTCACTTTATAATATTAATCTGAAAGAGTCCCTTATATATTCAGGATACCAGTCCTTTCCCAGATGTATGCCTTTTAAATATTTTCTCTCATTCTGTAAATTTTTTTTAACCTAAAGGGAGTTGTTTTTTTTTTTAAAGCACTAAAGGTTTACATTTGCATGAAATGAAATTAAACCACCTTTTATTTTGACATTTGTGCTATTGGCACACAGTACTTAAGGAGCCTTTGTGAAATCCTGGTCGCAAAAATTTACTGCTCTATTTTCTTCTGAGACTTTCACAGTTTCATGTGTTAGGTGGACACTTGCCATTCATCTAGAGCTACTTTCTGTGTGTGCTGGAAGGAAGGGCCCGCCTCATTCTTCGGCATGTGGCACCCAGTGGTCCCAGCACCATTCACTGTAGTGTAGGATGCACCTGCCCCACCTCCTGTCCCTCCCTTCTGGACTTGGTGACAAAATTGCATCCTGCTGAGCGGTTCTCCCAGGGCCTCCACCAATGAAATCCATCCTATGAATTCCAGGGAGGCACCTGCTCCTCAGAGGACCTGGACTAAGGAGTGGGTTCACCAAAGGAGAATATATTTTATGTGATGGAACATTCTCGGAATACTGACACTCAGCAAAACCCTTACTACCTCAAAATAAGAAATGGCATGATTTCCCATGTGGGTCCCACAAGTCTTTTTCTTAGCTCATTTAATTTTTTTGTGTTGTTTCTTACGTTGCTGTTGTTGTTTATTGTTGTTTTCTTTGAGACAGGCTCTCATTGTGTCCCCAGGCTGGAGTGCTGTGGTGCTGCCTCAACTTCCTGAAAACTCAAACTCCCAGGCTCAAGAGATCTTGCGATTTGCTTCCTGAGGAGCTGGGAATACAGGCACGTGCTACTACACTTGGTCAATTTTTAAATTTTTCTGTAGAGACACGGTCTCACCATGTTGCCACCGCTGATCTCCAGCTCCCAGCCTTGAGCAATTTTCTTGCATTGGCCTCCCGAAGTTCTGGGATTACAGGCATGAGCCACCACTCCTGGTCCAAACCTTACTGCTTTTTAGTTTTTACTTTTCACATGGTTGTATGACAGTCTATAGATTTTAAAATTCTGTATAAGTAATTTGAGCAATGCTACATGATAAAATGATTTCTTCAGCCACAGCTTCCTCAAACACAGAAGTGGCATTAAAATGTTGTGCATTTGTCAAATCTTCAAGAAGTTTAAGATATTTAGGGTAATTCTGACCTCTTGTTTTGTTTGACTCAATAATCCATAAAAACGAGTAAAGTGCCCCCTCTGATCTGGAGGGGTAAGGAGGTGAAAGCATTGCCAACCCAAGTGACAGCCTGTTCTGTAGACATGATCCTGCCTAAATTTCTCATGCACCACAAAAGAAGGTTGTGGACTTCTGGCTTCTCCAGAGCTCCAAGAAGTCCTTGAAGCGCTCTCTGGCTGTCTCTGCAATTGGCTGAACAGCTCCTCCTGGTCTCTGTGGGGCTGTGGAGGCTCCAGGTCCCCTAGGCCCAGGGGTTGTCATGCTCAACAGGTCCCACCAAGGATGCACCCGACCGTGGGTGGTGAAGGAGACCAGGTGTAGCTGCTCCTGCCCCTGACCCTATCCTGACCGGCCAATCTCAATGGAGGAAGGAGTAGGGATGGGTGGAGCCATGGAGGTTGGTGCTGGAAAGAACAGAAATGAAGCCCTTTGTCCAATCCCCCAAATGATGGGGATCCCTTTCTGAGTTCTAGCAGCCCCGGGGTAGTCTGATGATTGGATTCTTCTCATGTGTCTTAAACCCTGTCCTATGGCAGCCACTGTGATAGGTGCTGAGTTCACATGTGGGTGACGGATGTGAACTTAGAATTCAGGGACAGAAATGAACACTGTATGTCAATGGAGCAAATGGCAAAATTAAAGGTACTTTAATTTCATTTCACGCAAATGTAAAACATTTGTGTTTCAGAAAGGACTCAACTTAGAAGGTTAAGAAAACTTTTTAAATGGAGAAAATATTTGAAAATCATATATCTGCTAAGGTACTGGTATCCTGAATGTATAAAGAACCCTTACAACTCAATATTATAAAGCAAAATAACCCAATTTGAATATATGTAAGAATTTGAATAAATATTTCTCCAAAGGGAGACAGGTATAATAAAGGGTGTTCGTAAAAGAAGACAAACTTTTAGGCAGCAGTTTCAGGAGACTAGCCAAAGGAATCTGTTGGAATATCTACAAGGGCTCGAGGCTGTAAGACCCTAAAAGGCAGGGTGTGAACCAAGCTGGCTAAGAATGAGTGAACCCAACATGGCCCTGGATTTGATGTAGGTTTCACCTTGGACCTCATTACATGCTGATGAACATAGTAAACACACCAGCCAGCTCCCTAGCAGTTTGGAGAATGTCTATGTTTGGTGTAAAAATGGGTGGCATCGCAGTTCTGAGAAATCATCTCCTTCTTCCAGGAATTTCCATGATATCTCACCCCTTAGTTAAAGAAACCCAGAAAGGCGGCAGCCCCAAAGCCCTGTGCACCTGCCTCTCCCTGGAGCTCCCCTGGGCTCCTTTTACTTGAGTGTGCACTTTTCCATAAATCTCCGTCCTTTCTCCATTTTCCTACTGGTCCTTGAATTCATTTCTCCAGGCGGTGTCAAGAGCCCAACACCGGCTGGGGTCGCAGACCCACTGGTGTTTTGGGACCTCTTGGCAGCTGGCATCAGAAGAGAAATGCAAATGGCAGTGAGTCCAGGAAAAGGTGCTCAGTGTCCACAGCCCTCAGGGAAATGCCAATCGCACCCACTAGGGACGCCTCATCCCGCTGGGATGTCTAACCCGAAACACAAAGAGAGTGGAGGGGGTGGGGCCTGCGTTCCTTACAGGGCAAAGAACAGGAGACAGAGGGTCCCTGGAGTGTGGGGGCTGTCCTAGTGTCACCCTCTCCCCATTTTGGGAGCTGGGGTTTCTCCCTCTTCTCTGGCCCCACCTGCTTCCTTCCTCTCCCTTTCTCCTGCCCTCCCTCGGAGCCTTCAGTTCCACCCATCCCAAGCTTTTCTCTGCCTCACGAGGTCCATGCTCTTGGCCCACAGCCCAGCAGAGAAACCAGGGGCCATGCACCCTGAGTGTTGGGGTCGGGGAGGCGACACCGGGCAGTCTCCGCGGGACCCTGGACAGTCAAGACCTAGTGCTTCCCGGGAGCCCTCCCGCAGCAGCCCCAGGGCAAGGAGGACGGAGGGTCTTCTGGGGGCCACACTGTCGGAGCCCCACGGATCCGAGCTGGGCAGTGACGTCTCCACACTGAGCCTGTGGCAAAGTCCCCTCGAGGATGAAGGAGGAACCTCGTGCTCCTCACCCCACCAGGCCCCGCATTTCCTGGATCCTCCTGACCCGGGAACCGTCTGGCCCTTGCTGCGACCAACCAGTCCTCCCAGGTCTTCCAAAGGCCGTTTTGCCCGGAGTCTGTGGTCCTGGAGGCCCGGGGGCATCGGCCGGCAGCGGGTACCCGCTCCGGGGTCCTTACCGGGCAGGCCCAGGTTCCAGAGCTCGGGAGCAGCCGGCGCCCTGGGAGGAGCGCGCAGAACCCGGAGAGCACACTGCGGGGTGGAAACTGAAACCCTTCAGGTGCAATCTTTACCCGAAAGTCATCTGTGGTTGAAATCAGCAATCATCTGTAATATTCCCGCTATGACAACACCGTTGGGTAAATATCTAGAACCAGTGCCTCTTCACCGCAGCAGCCCCGCGGGTCCCTGCCCAGGTCCGCATCCCTGGACCCACGTGGCCCACAATAGGTCAGGCGAACCCACCCGGTGACAGTCCCCGGGGATCCGCGCCCCCGTCTTCCTTACTTCTTCATCTCCATGTGTTCACCTGTTTCAGGATCAAAACCATGAAAAGTCATATGTGAAAGGCTCCCCTGCCCCTGCCTGCATCCACTCTCATTGGCCACATGCCTGGAAGGAAACTTTATTGGATTCTCATATTTCTAGGAAGTCTTTATGCCATTTCAATACGTATTCTTAATTCAGACTTGGATATTTTTGACTCTTGAGGGAGCCCTGTCACCCTGTCCTTCAGGAAGCCTGTTCCAGTTTCTCCTCCCTTCACAGAGGACTCTCCTCAGGTGCCAGGTAGGATGAAGCAGAGGAGGATGATGAAGAGGCTCCAGGGACTGAGCATGGCTTTGGGTTGGGCAGTGCCTGGGGCCATGGTGGGTGGTGCTGAAATGGAAACACAAGAGTGACAACCCTTGTCCAGGCCCCAAATCTTAGGGGACCCCTCCTCAGCTCCTGCTCCCCCAGGTCATCCTGCAAGGCAGAGATTGTGTCCCCCTCTGCTGTTGGGCAGGCGCTGTGACAGGTCCTGTGTTAGGAAGGGAGAGGGGGCATCCCTGTCCTCAGGGAGCTCACACAGCTGCTGAGGGAAGTAAGGTGACAGCACAGCCCACCCTCCTCCAGTGGCGGAAGAGGAGGTGATGTCCAAGTCTGGGGGAGGGGAGGGTGTTGGGGCTGGCACTGGAGGTTGTTTTGATGGATTTCCAGATACAGACCAAGGTAGAGGAAAGAAAGTGAAAAGTGCTCCTAGCAGGAGGGAACATTAAGGAGAAAGGTGGAAACACAGTGATGGCCACAGGTTGGAGGCTGGTGAGAAATCCACAGTGAGGGCAGCAGAAGCAAGTGCAGTGAGGAAGAGGAGTCAGGCGGGAGAAGGGAGAGGAGGATGGGAGAGCACAGGCGCCCCCAGGAGGAGACCCCACGAGGGGATTGTTTTAACGTAAATGTGTACACTGGGATCATCGAAGCTGAACTCAAGAACTAATTTCTCGAGATCACCATTTCTGACCT